CAAAACAAAAAAGCAAGAAAAGAAATGAGGATTTGGGACAATGGGGACACTTATCTGATGCAACACAGGTGAGCAGTTCTTTTGTGCCCATGAAGACACAGTTCCCAGGAGCCTGCCTGGGGTCTCCTAGAACAAGTGTGTGGGTGCCCACTGGCTGCAGTTCCACCTTTCCTTTCCTGGACTCTCAGGAAGACACGAATTCTGAATTCAGATGAACTGACTTCAAGTTCAGGCTCTGTGACTCTCACTGGCCATGTAAAATGGAGAGATGGAGTTATTGTAAGGTTTTGAAGGCAAGACAAGGGTTAAAGAAAGGCCCCAGGATCCCAGCACTTTGGGGGCCTGAGGTGGGCAGATCATGAGGTCAGGAGATCGAGACCATCCTGGCTAACACGGTGAAACCCTGTCTCTACTAAAAATGCAAAAAATTAGCTGGGCGTGGCAGCGGGTGCCTGTAGTCCCAGCTGTTCGGGAGGCTGAGGCAGGAGAATGGTGTGAACCCGGGAGGCGGAGCTTGCAGTGAGCCGAGATTGCACCACTGCATTCCAGCCTGGGCGACAGAGCGAGACTCCATCTCAAAAAAAAAAAAAAGACCCAGGGAAAGAGAGAGAGATTTGGCAGCTTCAACAGCAACACAGGTTTATTACTAGCAAAACCCTGCAGTGGGGGAAACCAGCTTAGTTACCAGTGCCCACTGCCCTTAAAGGGACCATCATCAAGAAAGTTTCCACTGTGGGCAGCCAGGACTCAGCCCAGCCAGGTACCTCTGAGAGACAGCATAGAACATGTGCTTCAGAGTCATCCCACCCAGAGCAAGGGAGCTGGGGTATTTATCCACCAATACCCACCAGTCACTCTTCAAGCCTCCTTCCAAGGGCATGATTCCACCAGAATGCCCTGCCTGCAAGCAAGAGTCAGACCTGAGGTTGAGAGCAAGGCCCCTGACAGCACCTCCAGCAATAAGCAGGAACACAGCCTAGTGTGGACAGTTTCAGTCACTCAGTGACTCCAACACACACACACACACACACACACACACACACACTCTCTCTCTCTCTGTCACACACACACACTCTCACATACACACACACACACATACACACACACCACACTCCAACACCAACACAGTGCAAACGTACATACACAGGCATGCATGCATGACTGTTGCCCACTTAGATCCTGGTGAATCCATGGAATAGATGATAAGGCGGGAATCAGAGGGAAGAGCAAAATTAAGGGGAGTGAAGGTCAAATTTAGGGGACAAAATGCAAATTTAGGCAGAAAATCAAGGAGAAAGAGGAGTGGCTTGGACACCAGATGCCTGCTGGGTGGCACCTGCTCTACATACACTGTCACTAATTCTCCAAGCAGACTTGTTGGGTAGAAGAAATTCCCCTCAATTTACCGATGGCAGAAATATAGTTCAGAAAAGAAAACTGATTTTACTAATGTCTCAGCAAGTTAGTGGACTCCCAGGTCTTTCTGTCCACAGAGCCTACACATTCTCCCCTTGTTAGGCAGGCTGGGTGCCAGGCCCTGCTTCTGGGCTCTGCTCCTTTTCCTGCTAGGCAATAATGACAGAATTGACAAAAACGTTTTCCCCCTTCACCACCTGGAGTAGAGTCAATGAGATGGGCTGGGGAACAGGCCATGAGGTCCTGCACCCCCCATTCAATGTCTTCAGGATTGTGGTCTCTCAGGACTCTTGCCCCATGTGCTGGCAGCACTTCCGGTGTCTGGGTGTCTTGTGAGGTTGTACAGGACCCAGTATAGGCCACTGGCTGTGCTGTCATATCCTAAGAGGCAGCCAGGCTGGTTTGTGTCTCTTGGCTGCTTCAGCACCAGAGGATGGACAGCACCCATGCACTGAGGCCCTCAGGAGAATGGGAGGAGGGAAAGGAAGGGCAGAATGGAGTAATGCAGGGTCCATCCACCATGTCCCTGGATGGAGAGACCCCTGTTCCCACAATAGTCCACACTGGGACCACCACCGGCACTCATGAAGATGCCAGCCTCCATTTATATGTCCTCGTCTGACAACTCCTTCCCATTTTCATCCTGGAGACAAGATCTCTGAACACACTAGCTCTGAAGGCACCTGAGTCTAACCTGAGACAGTCCCATATCTGAGTGTCCCTCCTTTATCCAGCACCTTCCTGGCTCTACAGAGCCCTCCAGATTAAGTTCAAGTTATTTGACCAGACACTTGATCTCAAGCTCCATTCTACCTCCTGAATTAAGGCCCCAGAGACGCTCACCTAGCTCTGCACAAGTGCATCACTGAAGTTTGAAGTCTTGAATGTGGCCTTAGGGGAGACAGGCCACAGGGAACCCCGGGGAGAGAGCTCAGTGAGACAGGCCACAGGGGAGCCCAGGAAGAGAGCTCTGTGAGACAGGCCACAGGGGTCCCTGGGGAGACAGCTCGGTGAGACAGGCCACAGGGGACCCCGGGGAGAGAGCTCGGTGAGACAGGTCACTGGGTCCCCGAGAAGAGAGCTCTGTGAGACAGGCCACAGGGGTCCCCGGGGAGACAGCTCGGTGAGACAGGCCACAGGGGACCCCGGGGAGAGAGCTTGGCGAGACAGGCCACTGGGTCCCCGGGAAGAGGGCTCGGTGAGACAGGATGTCCAGCCCATCCTGCTGGACAGGATGGAGGAAGTCAGGGAACAGACAGGGTGGACTGTTGGGGTGCAGGGAGAGGCAGGTGCATGCTGGGAGGTCAGACCCTGTGAGGGCTGTAGGGGCATCAGGTGGAGTGGACTCAGGTGCACCCTCAGTGCACTGGGCAGGTCTCAGGCCAGGGTCCCTGGAACCCGGCTGGGTGATGTGGTTACTCCCGGGGGGCCTGCTGTCAGGTCCTGGCCACCCACCCTGGGCAGCACCATCCCATCTCAGGGCTAGACTTTCTGAGTCCTGAAACAGAACAGTATTGCCCAGGCCTGACAGACTAGGGGGACCTGCCAAGTCCTCCATCCCTAGACCAGCCTCCCACACAGCAGGAACAGTCTCTCACCTTCACCTTCAGGGCACTGACTGATCCTTCTCATTCTAAGGAAGAACTGAGGACCTGCGCCAGACTAGGAGCCAGTCCCCTCCCTAAGTGGGCCTGAGGGAAGCACCATCCCTGTCCCAATCCACTGCAAGTTTCAGCCCAGGAGATACATGGGGAAGGGAGGACGGGGTCTCCCTGCTGGCTGACACTGGAAAAGCAGGACCTGGAAGCAGAGGGAGCGCAGGGTTGGCAGGGGATGCTCCAGGTCCATGGAGAGCTTGGGCTGCACCCAGGGGCTGCCCCTCCTGGGCTAGAGGCTGTGCCCTCTGCAGGATCTGAGAAAGTCCAGTCCTGAGATGGGACAGCGCTGCCCAGGGTGGGTGGCTGGTGCCTGACAACAGTCCCCCAGGGAGTGACCACATCACCTGGCCTGGGTGCAGGGAGCCTGGGCTAAGACCTGCCCAGTGCATTGAGGGTGCACCTGGAACCCACCCCACCTGACACCGCCACAGCCCTCACAGGGTCTGACCTCCCAGCATGCACCTGCCTCTCCCTGCACCCCAGCTGCCCACCTGCCTGTTCCCTGGCTTCCTTCATCCTGTGCAGCCCGTAGACTTTGACCATCTCTCTGGCCACTCTGGCCCTTCCTTTAACTTTGTCCTGTCAGGATCTCTGAGGAAGATCTCACCAGGTCCATCCAAACACCTGCTTTGTCCACTTTTGACTGGGCTGTTGGGCTCCTCTGGGCCATCCCAGCTGTCCACGGGGCCCACATTGCACCTGTGATCTCCCAGCAATGCTCATCATCCCCCAATGACAAAGCCCCTGCTGGCCACACCCCACACATCAGGTCCTCCCCAGTCAAACCCTGACTGATTAGACCCCCATCGGGAGGCCCCACTAACCAGATCTCCACTGCCAGGCCCACAATGACCAGGACTCCACTGAAAAGTACCTTACGGACAAGGCCTCACTGACCAGGTTCCTCTGATCACGACCCCATTGCCTGGCCTCACAGATGAGGCCCCACTGACCAGGCCTCCAGGGAACAGGCTGCCACTGACCAGGCCCCTACTAACCAAGCCTGAGGTGACCAGATGCCCCTGACCTTGACCTAGTGAGTAGACGCCACTGAACAGGCACCCATTGCTGAGATCCCGCTGACCAGGTCACCCCGTATACCAGTGCTACAAAAGCCACAACTGACCAAGTCCTCTCTGACCAGGCCCCCGTTGATTAGGTTCTACTGACCAGGCTGCCCTGACCAGGGCCCCACTGACAAGGGCCTCACTGATGAGGACACACCCACCAGACCCTGCTGACTAGGTCCCTGTGACCAGGCCTCCACTGAATAGCACCCCTTGACCTGGTCACCAGTGACCCAGCCCATGCTGACAAGGCTACCACTGAGCCCCAGCTGACCAGGTCTCCACTGACCAAGTCCCGTAGCCCAGGTTTGCACTGACCAGACACCAAACAACTGGGTGCCACTGGTCCCCACTCACCAAGACCCCACTACTAGATCCCCCTAATGTGACCCTCTCTAAACAGACCCCTGCTGACCATGCCCCCATTAGATAGGCCTCACTGACCAAGTCCTATCTGACTAGGTCCACTGACCAGGCCCACACTGATCAGGCCCCTCTTAACCATACCAGAAGGCCAAACAGCAATGAGATGTTTAATATGCTAGGAGTAGGAGCAAGACAGAGAGAGGAAAGAGGTGCCACATCTTGTTATAAGACCAGATCTCATGAGAACTCACTATCAGGAGATCAGCATCAAGAAGATTAACCATTGGTGAAGGATCCAACACCCACACCACTGCCCAGTGTTTCCAGGCAGTAGCCTGCTGCAGAGGCAAAGCCTCTTGGAAGACCTCTGCTAGGGCAGTGCAGAAGGAAAATATGGGCTTGGAGCCCCCACACAGGAGGCCACCACCCTCCAGAGCCCAGATTCAGACTAACCAATGGCTCACACCCTCAGTATGGAAAACCTACAGGCAGTCAACGCTAGCCCAGTCCATGAGAGCAGCCATGGGGGCTAAAACCTGCAAAGCCACAGGTGCACTGTCCTAGTAGAGGTTTTCCATGAGCCTCTGCCTCTGCATCAGATTACTCCCCCTTCCTACTACCTACCACCCTCAATATTTGCATGGTGGGAAAGCAGTTTTCCTGCCAGTGAAGTCTCCTTATTACACACAGCATCATGAAGAGCAGTGTTGCCATAGACATCCTTAACGTTTAACATCATGAAGAGCAGTGTTGCCGTAGACATCCTTAACGTTTAACATCATGAAGAGCAGTGTTGCCGTAGACATCCTTAACGTTTAACATCATGAAGAGCAGTGTTGCCGTAGACATCCTTAACGTTTAACATCATGAAGAGCAGTGTTGCCGTAGACATCCTTAACGTTTAACATCATGAAGAGCAGTGTTGCCGTAGACATCCTTAACGTTTAACATCATGAAGAGCAGTGTTGCCGTAGACATCCTTAACGTTTAACATCATGAAGAGCAGTGTTGCCGTAGACATCCTTAACGTTTAACATCATGAAGAGCAGTGTTGCCGTAGACATCCTTAACGTTTAACATCATGAAGAGCAGTGTTGCCGTAGACATCCTTAATGTTTGGATTGGCACCATGTTCCAGCAGAATAATGGAACACGTCTCTTCCTGGCAATGTGCAGCCTATCAGTGTTAGGTGAAAAATTAGACTATAAATTCTAAGAATTCAAAATACATATTCCACAGGTTTCACCAACTAGTTATATTTAAATGAGATAAATTCGTTTTAATTCTATGTATTTAGTGAAATCTATGTCATGCCAAAAGAGTTGGCTACCATACACCTTCATTAAAGGTGTCCTGTTCAGTCTGTCACAGATGTCAATCTGGCATTTTCTGCTCAGCAAGAGAGTGAGCACTTCCACACAGCCATGCGCACAGGCCAAATGTAGAGCAGTCCTATGAGAGCGAGAGGAGTTTTCAGGAAATTATAAGCAATATCTCAAAACCTACACTGCTTTATGTAACTGCAAACATAGAAGAGCATGTTATTCCTCTGCCTTCAAAACAAATAATTTTCTTTTGAAGAAAGTGCAATATTTATTAGCTCTTATTGCTCACTACCTTAATGAAACAGCAGCCTATTTGGATAGAATGAGCTTGGTGTTTGGATTCAGTTCAACTAGGACTTGAATTCTACTTGGAACTCGGTCACTTACCAGCTATTGCTTAGCCTTTCTGTGCTTCATTTTTCTCATTAATAAAATAAAGACGACAATAGCAGCTAGCTCACAGGACACCATTGTGATGTTTAAATGGGAATCTATGTAAAGTATTTAGAACCATTTCTAGAACAAGCAACAACTCAATAATTGTTAGATTGTTGTTTTTTTGAGAGAGGATCTTGTTCTGTTGCCCAGGCTGGAGTGCAAAGGTTTATTACATATATTTCATATATTACCTCACTGCAACCTGGAACTCCTAGGCTCAAGCGATCCTCCTGCCTCAGCCTCTTGAGTAGCTGGGACCACAGGAGCACACCAGCATGCTCAGCTAATTATTAAAAAAAATTATAGAAAGAATCTCATTTTGTTGCCCAGACTGGTCTCAAATTCCTGGCATCAAGGAAACCTCCCATACTTCTATATCTATTGTCACCTTCAATGGTCACATATTATTCCCTCCTATGGATGCAACTGAAACTCATTTATAGGACACATTCTGTGGGTTTTTGTTAACATAAATGCTGAGAAAAACAAAGTACGTGTATCTCTATTTTCTAAAGGTGTTTTAATACAATAGAATTGATGTGTAAAGGGTATATACATTTTTAAAATGTAGTAATTACCACCAAATTATCTATTTGAAAAGTCATCAGCAACTTAAACTTTAAGCAGCAGTATAAGGACCACTGCTCTTTATTCTCACAAACATTGTGGATAGAAAACAGTCTCATTCCTCTTTTAACTGAAATTCTTTTACGAGAAATACTAAGGATTTTTTGCTATGTAGATACGTAAATGGTGGATCTGCAAAACAGTACTTAGCTCACTTTTAGAGTTCTTTTCTTGTGGATTTGATTGGAAAGAATTCCCTGTAAAATGAAGATGTGCTTTTTATCTGTGTGTATATATATATATAATATCAGTAATATATACAATTCTTTATATGTATGTTCACTTATATATAATAATATATATGATAAAAAATAAATTCCCAGTAGGATGAAGATACACTTTTCATCTGAATTTCTATTTATATATATATTAGTAAAAACATATATATAGTAAATGTTTTTCAAGTATGTTATCTTTTGTTAATTTTTTTCTGATACACAGGGGGGTTTTAATTTTTTTTTCTTTTTTATTTTCTTGAGACGGAGTCTCACTCTGTCGCCCAGGCTGGAGTGCGGTGGCACCATCTCGGCTCACTGCAACCTCCACCTCCCAGGTTCAAGCGATTCTCCTGCCTCAGCCTCCTGAGTAGCTGGGACTACAGGCGCCTGCCACCATGCCAGGCTAATTTTTTGTATTTTTAGTAGAGATGGGGTTTCACTGTTAGCAAGGATGGTCTCAATCTCCTGACCTCATGATCTGCCCACCTCAGCCTCCCAAAGTGCTGGGATTACAGGGGTGAGCCACCATGCCCAGACTCGGGGTTTTAATTTTTAGTTAGCTAAATCGACCTTCAGAATGCCTGCTTGTGAGGTCATTCTTAGGAAGGCCTTTGGCAACGTAAAATGTACCTGTATAAATAAGCATTTGTGTTTTCTTCTGGTACTTTTCTCATTTTGCATATGTAAAAATTTCAATCTGTATTCCATCAGGAACTCATTTTTGTGACATAAAATTTCATTAGTTTTCTTCAAAGAGCAGGCATTTTATTAATAACTCAACTGTTCCTACTCATCTGAAATGTTACCATTATCAATCCTTACATCTATATCTTACATATAGTTCAGTGTTTCTGGATTTCCATTCTGTTCCATGTATTTATGTCTTTTCAGCTGTTAGTAAACAATTGTGGGAATTAATAGCACATTCTGATATCTAGAGGAGCAAGTCTTTTTCACTCCGTTATAAAAATTTTTAAATGTCATCACGATAGTAAGATAGACAGCAGGTGTCATGCAAAAATGGTAAATCCTTGATATTTTCATTCGGTTTATGTAAAACTGATAAACATAGAAAGAGCTCATGTTTTGAGAAAACGGAGTCTTCCCATTCAAGGAACCCACCTCCCACTTCCAAGTGTGTCTCTGAGAAGCCCCAGTAAAGAATCTGACTACATGGGTGGATTCAGGTGTAAAACCGACCCAGGCTTTTATCTGAGAACTTCTCACCTGCTGAACATGACTCACGGTATTTTTGACATGGGAATGAGTTCTCATTAGGCACCTCTAAGGAAGGAGACCACTACTACTCCTGCTGCCCTCCTCCCCCCACCTTGCCTAGTTCACAAGACAGGAGGAAAGAGAGAAAAAAACAAAAGTAAGATAAATAGCCAGACAACCTTGGCAACACCACCCAGCCCTAGGAGTTAAAAAAAGTAATAACAATAACATCAACCCCTCACCTAAACTACTTGTGTTATCTGTAAATCCCAGACACTGTATGGAAAAAAAAAAAAGCACTGTAAAACTTTTTGTTCTGTTAGCTGATGCATGTAGCCCCCAGTCATGTTTCCCACGCTTGTTCGATTTATCACGACCCTTTCACGTGGACCCCTTAAAGTTGTAAGCCTTTACAAAGTCCAAGTATTTCTTTTTCGGGGAGCTTGGCTCTTAAGACGCAAGTCTGCCGACGCTTCTGGCCAAATAGAAAACCTCTTCCTTCTTTAATCCAGTGTCTGAGGAGCTTTGTCTGTGGCTTGTCCTGCTACATTTCTTGGTTACCTGACTGGGAAGTGAGGTGATTAATGGACGGTCGAGGCAGCCCCTTAAGCAGCTTATGCCTGCCCTGTAGAGCATCCCTGTGGGGGACACTGGTCAGCTTGAGCAATGTGGATCCTGAAAGAGCTCCCGGGTAGCATTTGCCTCGGTGAAACTCCTCGTCAGAGCAGTGCACAGCAGGCCCCTGTGGAGGATCAAGACAGTGGCTGAACACCGGGAAGGAACTGGTACTTTAAGTCCGGACATCTGAAACTTGGTAAGACTGGTCTTTGGAACTTGCCCACTCCATCTGAGTGGAAGCGTGGCCTGATCACCCACGGCCTGCCTGTACCCGGCACTTTGGCTTTTGTTTTTGACTTGAATTAACTGCTTGATACTTTGGTTTTGGTTCTGATTTTGACTTGGCTTAAATTGCTTGACGAACAGGTGCGCTTTTAACAACACTTTGGTTTTAGTTTTTATTTTGATTTAGTGTGAATTAGATGAGCGAGTGATCTTTTACCCTTTCCTTCTTATAGTGTGAATGTTGTTTTGTCTCAAGAGAAAAATAGGTCAGACACAAAAGTAAGCCCACTCTGCTAGGAACTGTCAAAAAGAAAAATAAAATAGGAAAGTCATCAAATCATCAAAACTTACTCTATTAAAATGCATGTTACAGAACCTTGGGAAAGGTTTTGCAGATTATAGAGTTAAGTTAACCCCTCAGAGGTTAAGATCTCTGTGTGAATTAGAACTGCCCTCTTTTGGTGTTGGATGGCCCACTGAAGAAACCATAGACAAGGAACAATTGACCGTGTATTTAAGGTGCTGACAGGGGTCGGAGGACAGCCAGTGTACCTAGATCAAGTCCCTTTATATTGACTCATGGTTAAATATAGACAAAACCAGCATATTTTTAGCCCTGTTTAACAGCTTATTGCAAAAAAAGCCAAAAGTAAAAGAGCAGCTTCGCCAGCAGACACAGAGTTAAAAAGGGAGTCTGAGAAACAGCAAGAGAAGCCAGTTTTGCAAGAGCTGCCAGAGATAATAGAAATTCTTTCTCCACATGTCCCAGCCTACCCCACTTTACCAAGGCCAAAAGCCCCCTCAGAAACAAGATTCAGGAGCTAACACACCCCAGGTCTCACCTCGAAGGGGAAGATCGGAGCCTCAAGAGGCCAAGGAAGGAAGTCAAGATAGTCAAGTGGCCGTCTCGGATCTGGTCTTGCTCAAGCTATTCAAATGCCTCTCAGGGAGACGGGAGGAGCTGTCTATTATAATGACCAGGCCCACATCTGGGGGGACAACAGACCTTCATCTATCAGCCCTTTTCAACCATTGATCTACTAAACTGGAAACACCCTGAACCCGCCGCCTTGCTCCCGGCAGCTAGAGCCCTGTCGACATGACTGTGTAGAGGTGTTGGACTCAAGTTTACTCCAGCAGACCTGACCTCCGGGACCAGCCTTGGGCATCAGTAGACCAGGAGCTATATGTGGACGGGAACAGCTTCATCAACCCACAAGGAGAGAGATGTGCAGAGTGTGCGGTGGTAACCCTGGACACTGTCGTTAAGCTGAGCTCATTGCTTTAATTCGGGCCTTAGAACTCAGTGAAGGTAAGACTGTAAACATTTACACTGACTCTCGGTATGCCTGTTTAACCCTCCAAGTGCATGGAGAATTATATGAAGAAAAGAGCCTGTTAAACTCTAGGAAAAAGGGAAAAAAAGACCCAGAGAATGCATCTCAGCTTCAGCATTTGCAGAGGTACTGAGAAGCACTTCTGCAGAGGCTAAGAGTTAGTAGAAAAAAGCAAGTAATACAAAAAACGATTTCAGAAATGCTTCGAGGAGCTGACAAAAGCCTAAGTCAGTTTTATAAGAGATTCTGTAACAGAATCTCTGGCTTTATACACCATTTAACCCTGAGGCTGCTGAAAATCAGTATATAGTGAATACTTCATTTGTAAAGCAATCCCATGGTAACATCAAGCAGAGGCTGCAGACATGAATACCACCTAGTCTATCAAAAAACTAGCCGGGCGAAGTGGTGGGTGCCTGTAGTCCCAGCTACTCGGGAGGCTGAGGCAGGAGAATGGCGTGAACCCGAGAGGAGGAGCTTGCAGTGAGCTGAGATCCGGCCACTGCACTCCAGCCTGGGGGACAGAGCAAGACTCCGTCTCAAAAAAAATAAAAATAAAAAAAAATAAATAAAAGTGGCCTTTGAGGTGTATGCTAACTGTAACCAAGGAACAAAATTGGGAAAAAAAAAAAAAAGACTAAGATTAAGTGTAAAAAAGAAAAATTAGCAATGTGAGAGGACGTGGACGTGAATGTAAATGTGAAAGAAGTCAAGTTAGGCAAGGATTCAAGAGCCGGACAAGGCAAGAGAGAGATTAATGTGCAAGATGCAAAAAGAAAGGACACTAGAAGGGTAAATGTTCAAAAGGCAGTAAAGGAAATGGCCAAGGCTGCAAGACAAATAGGCCATCGGCCAAGGGCTGCCATACCTTGGAGGAACCAAATACTGATCTGATCAGACTGACAGGAGCTGAAGAATGTAAAGACTAGGGCAGACTATGCACCTTCTCATTAGGCTCCCAGGAGCCCATGGTGACATTAGAAGTTAAAAACAGCAAGATTCTGCTGTATCTGGATTCCAATTTCTCACTGAAGCCTAAGCCATTAAATGGAGTTACAAGTGGGGGAGGCGGGGGGAGAAGAACCCCTCCTCTAAGAAACTTAAACAGTAAAAAGAGCCATACCTTGTGAAAACTTGCCTATAGACTTTACAGAACTGCCCCAGGCTGGAGACTATCAGTACATGCTAGTGCTTGTTTGCTCATTTAAGATAAAATCAGGTTTTTGCCTATGGTCCTCCTCCGAGTCAGGTGCACCTCCACCAAATAAACTAGGTATTTGCCCTATAAGATTTTGTTTGGTCGGCCACCCCCAAATCATAGGTCAAATTAAAGGTGACCTCCAGAAACTAAAGAAATTAACCTTAAGAAAGCAAATGCAGGTAAAAATAGCCATACAAAATGTTCATAATTAAATAAATGAAAATGCCTATAAGCCTGATACCCCTTTAAATCTAGCGACTCTGTTTAAAGTAAAATCTAATTTTTCTAGGACCGATATAGAATTGGCTCTATACTGTAACCTTGTCCACTCCCACTGCTGTTAAAGTTGCAAGTGTTGTGTCTTGGATCCACTACAGTCAGCTAACACTGGCAACTCAGGACAAGTGGACCAGCCAGCAGGACACAGATCATCCAATCTGGCTGATCCTGAGACAAGACCAAGCTGCTGCTGAGGACGACAGCCCTGTTCTGGTCACTCCAGAGGTTGACCAGTCTACGCATGGCTGAAGCTTGAGGAGACAACAAGCCCTGTTCTAGTCACACACCGGCAGCTGACTAGTCTATGCACGGTCATAGCTTGAGGACTCATCAAGCAAGTAAATGTAGTTAAAAATCTTAATAGTTTTCCTGCAATACTGTTTTCCTATTGTTCTGTCGCTGTATTCAACCTTTTTCCCAGGTAAGGACCTCTTTTGTTCTTGCTGTACATTGTTTTCTTGCTGTTACCCCCCATAACCATGCTAGAAGAAACGCCTATATAAGGTGTCCCCACTGTACACATACTACTTAGGAAACTCAGACCTGTCCAGCCCAGCAACAATTCCGAGTCTTATAGTCATTCTTTAAACATATAAACCAGAAGTTACCAGAACCTCTTCCTTTAGCAAAAACAGAAAAAGCCTATTTGCTCAGTTGGCTGAAAACATTGCTGGCAGCCTGGATATTTCTTCATGTTATGTTTATAAAAAGGCTAACATAAGAGACCAACGGCCTTGAGAAGCAAAAGAGTTAATGCCTCAAGATAACTTTAACTAACTCTTTCCCCAAACAGATGCCCCAAGTTCAAGTATCTGGCTCTTAAAAACTTCTGTTATTAAAAAATACTGTGTTACTCGCTAAGAAAAAGCGTTTAAGACCCAGTGACAAAACTAACCTGCTTAGGACACGACAAAGTTGATGCATGTGCCTGTACAAGTTTAACACAGATTTGATCCTAGGTCTTCATTTAGAAAATAGTTTCCAGCTATAAAAATTTAAAACCCTCATTATGTTCTTCCCGCCATCTTGGCTCCTGTGGAGGCCTGCTGGGAATGGGGCTTCTAAAAGGAACTATGTCTGGAAGGCTGTGGTCCAAGGCCATTTTTGCTGGCTATAAGCGGGGTCTCCAGAACCAAAGGGAGCACACAGCTTTTCTTAAAATTGAAGGTGTTTATGCCCTAGATGAAACAGAATTCTATTTGGGCAAATGATGCGCTTATGTATACAAAGCAAAGAACAACACAGTGACTCCTGGCGGCAAACCAAATAAAACCAGTCATCTGGGGAAAGGTAACTCCTGCCCATGGAAACAGTGGCATGGTTCCTGCCAAATTCTGAAGCAATCTTCCTGCTAAGGCCATTGGACACAGAATCCGAGTGATGCTGTACCCCTCAAGGATTTAAACTAATGAAAAATCAATAAATAAACATGGATTTGTGCTCTTGTAAAAAAAAAAACCCTCATTATATTACTGGTAATAGAAAGTTGCTTGCTGCTCCCCTGTGTATTACACTTGCTCCTTCAAATGATAAAAGGTTTTGTAGCTACCATGGTTTATCAGAAAACTTCAGCACAAGTGTATTACATAAAACACTATCACTCTGTCTCCCAAAGAGACTCAGAAAGTAAAAATAAAAGTGAGAACTCCCACTAATTAGTGAAAATTCTCAAAGGGGGGATAAGGAAGGAGACCACTACTACTCCTGCTGCCCTCCTCCCCCCACCTTGCCTAGACATAAGACAGGAGGAAAGAGAGAAAGAAACAAAAGTAAGATAAATAGCCAGACAGCCTTGGTACCACCACCGGCCCTAGGAGTTAAAAAAAAGTAATAACAATAACATCAACCCCTGACCTAAACTACTTGTGTTATCTGTAAATTCCAGACATTGTAAGAATAAAAAAGCATTGTAAAACTTTTTGTTCTGTTAGCTGATGCATGTAGGCCCCAGTCACGTTTCCCACGCTTGCTCGATTTATCACGACCATTTCACCCTTAAAGTTGTAAGCCTTTACAAAGGCCAACTATTTCCATTTCGGGGAGCTGGCTCTTAAGACGGGAGTCTGCTCACGCTCCCGGCGGAATAAAAAACCTCTTCCTTCTTTAATCCGGTGTCTGAGGAGTTTTGTCTGCAGCTCATCCTGCTACACCTCCACGACCCCATGTTTTAAACGTGTATAGGCTTAACTTTGTGAGTTAAATCACTCAAATTCTCCACCAAGTGCTCCAGGCGGGGAGTCGCCAGCGATGGAAAGCAGCTGAGGCTCCGCTTGGCGCCGCTGCTCCGAAGGTGCCTGGCGCCCTCCAAGGCCCCCGTCCCAGGGGCTGCGGGGCTGCCGGGCCTGGGGACCCCTCCCACCCCGGGCTGAGCTCCCGCCACCCGTCCTTCCTGTCGCGGGCATCCACGTCCTGGCTCCTGCGCGCCAGGCAGCTCCGCCTCCGCGGCCTCGCCCTTGATGGCCGCCCTGTGGGTCTTCCGCAGTTCCGCGTCCCTGGTGTGGGACCCGGGACCCGCGTACTCGTGGTGGACGGAGCCCAGGACCGCCTGGCCCAGGCGTCTCCCCAAGTTGAAGAGCTTCCTCATGGGGCGACTTCTCCTCAGACGCCCACCAGGGGCTCCTGAGCCGCCGCGGCTCCTCGTGGCCTTTGCATCCTCACCCACCCCCAAACCCGCGATGTAGCTCAGAATCCGCGACCCAGCCCGGCCCACCCACCACAGCCTTCAGCAGCGACACTCGCAGCCTTCGACCTCTCAGACCGAGGGAGCCCCGCGAAGCCGTTAGGCGCGCGCCTGCCCCTCAGCGCCCGCGCAGACTCCGGAAGCCGCTCCCAAGCCCGCGCGACCGGCAGGGGGAGGCCGGCAGGGGGCGGCCGCAGCTCCAGCGCAGGCGCCGGGGGCTTGCGGGTTCTCCTGGGCTCGCCCGGGACGTCCGGGAATCGCAGGCGCCCAGCCCGCCCGGCCTCCGCTGGCGGGGCCCTCCGCAGCCACCGGGGATGGGGCTGAGGGCCAGTTCCCGCCCCGGTGCAGCCGCCGCCGGGCAGATCTCCCGGCCTGTCCGCAGCCGCGGCGACATCCGGCCCTGGTTCTGGGAGGCCGAGAGCGCCAGCGAGCTTGGGAGTGGCCAGGCCGCTGCGAGCAGGCAGAGGGCGCCCGCAGTTTGAGCGCCCGGGCGGCGGAGCATGGCTCGGACGGCCTCTGGATCCCGAGTGCACCTGGCCTGAGAGCCTGCCAGGCCTGCCCCTGCCCGGCTCCTCCTCTGCCGGAGCTCGGGACCACTAGCCAGGCGCCCTCCGCAGTCGCCGGGAATGGGGCTGAGGGCGGGTTCCCGCCCCTGTGCAGCCGCCCCAGGGCAGACCGCCTGGCTTGGCCGCAGCAGCTGGGACATCTGGCCCCAGTTCTGAGATGTTGGGAGTGCGGGCTGAGATGTCGGGGGTTGCCTGGAGGCTGCTGCCTGCACACAGAAGGCGGCTGCAGCTTGGGTGCACAGGCGGGCTGGAGGGGCATGGCCTGGGCGGTCCCGGGATCTCCAGCGCGCCCAGGCTGAGGGTCCCCAGGACTTGCCTCCCGCCCCACTCCTCCACCGCAGGGAGTTCGGGGCCGCTGGCATGGGCACTTGGCAGCCACCCCGATGGGATTGAGCGCCAGGTTCTCAGTTCTCGCCCCTGTGCAGCCGCCGCCGGGCAGAATGCCTGGCTTGGCCGCAGCCACCGGGACACCTGGCCCTGGTTCTGCGACGCTGGGAGTTCGAGCAGAGCAGGCTCGGGAGTTGCCAGGCGGCTGCTGCCTGGACACAGAGGGCGACTGCAGCTTGGGCGCCCAGGCTGCGGAACATGGTCTGGGTGGGCTCCGGAATGCGTGCGCTCCAGGCCTGTTGGCCCCTACTGGGCCCGCCCCGCTCCTCCTCTGCTGGAGCCTGGAGCAGCTGGAATGGCCACTCTGCAGTCACCGGGGATGGAGTTAAGTTTTCTTATCCCACGCATGCACACAAAAAAGTAACTATTATCTGAGGTAATTAACGCGTCGATTGACTACATTTTGGTAATCATTTCAGAATGTGCATATAGATATAAACACATCACACTGTACACCTTGAATATGTACAATTTTTATTTCTCTGTTATACCTCAGTAAAGCTGAAAAAATTAACAGGATTGAAAGGATAACGGCACAGTTCTATAGTAGTAGTTGGACACTTCAATACCTCATCTTAATTAATGGATAGAAAAACCAGATAGAAGCTTCATGAGAAGTGGAAGACTTGAACAACCGTATAAGCCATTTAGAGCTCATACACATATACAGAACAGCCCACCCAACAACAGCAGAATATACATTCTTTTCAGGCGGACATGGAACTTCCTCTAGGATAGGCCATATCTTCGTCCGCAAAATAGGTCCTAAAATGACTTTTAAATCATTTTAAAAAGCTTGAAATAATACCAAATATAATTTACAACCACAATGGAAGAAACAACAGATACATAAAAAATGAAAACTCAAAAATTCACAAATATGCAGAAATTAAACAGTACACTCTTAAACTACCAGTGAGTGAAGGAATAAACCACAAGTGAAGTTATAAAACATCTTGAGACAAAATAAAAACAAAACATACCAAAATGTATTGAATACAGTGAAAGGAGAGTTCAAAGGAAAATGTATGAATATAAACAACTACATTTAAGAAAAAAATCTCAAATCAGTAACCTCATTCTATACCTAACGGCAGTAGAAAAAAACAAACAAACAAAAAAGACTAAATCCAAAGCTAGAAGAAGGAAAGAAATAATAAAGATTAGCACATAAATCAATAAAATAGAAGGTTGGAAAGCAGCAGAAATAAACATAGCTAAAAGTTGATTCTTTGAAAGATCAAACCTTTCACTATATTGACTGAACAAAAGATGGAAGACTCAGTATTAAAATCATAAATGAAAGTGGCATTGCACCTTAAGAGAACTGAAGGGGCAATATAGGCCACAAAGGCTTCAATTGTTAGGCAAGTCATACTCCGAGCTGGGCTTGGAGCCAGTGGGATGTGGACGGTGGGGAGAATGTGGCCTCCTGAGACACCAGCCAGAGGAGCTAAGGGAGTGCTCACAACACCACTCCCTCACCCAGCAGCAGCTACACAACACAAAGAAACCTGTGAATTTGGGAGAGGGAGAGCACAGTGACTGGGGAATTTAACATTAAACTCAGTGCTGCCATGTCAGTAAAGACCTGGCAGAATTCCTCACCTGCTGACTAAAGAACCCCTGTACCCAGAATAAAAACAGTGATACCCAGGCAATACTCCGTGGGCACTGGGCTCTGAGAAGTACCAACTTCATGTGTGACTCAGCACATTTCCAGCTGTGGTAGCTATGGTGAAAGACTTCTGTTTGAGAAAAGCAGCAGGGAAAGTAAAGGGAACTCTGCGTTGCACCTGATATACCAGCTCAGCCACAGTGACATAGAGCACCAAGCAGATTCTTAGATTCCCTGAGTCCAGGCCTAGGGGATTGGTCAGCATTTCTGCACTTGTCCTGGGCCAAAGGTCGAGACCCAGGCATTGCAGAATTTATCCCAAGCTAACCAAAGAGTCCTTGGGCTTTAAGTGAGAAATTGATGATGATTTGGCAGAACCCCCCCACTGGGCCGGTGGTGTTGGCAGTCATAGGAGAGGCTCTTCTGCCTGCAGACAGGGGAAGGAAGAGTAGAAAATACTTTGTCTTACACCCTAAGTGCCAGGTTAGCTACAGTAAAATAGAAGAGCAGGTAAATTTTGAAGATTCTGTGCTTTAATCTCTGGCTCCCAGACAGCATCTATGGACCCACTTATGGCTAGGGGAACTTGCCTCCCTATAGGCAGAGACACAAACCTGGCTGGCTTTGCCATCTGCTAATCATACAGTCCTAGGGCTTTGAATAAACTTACATGGTAGCCAAGTAGTGGTTACAGGGGGCCTTGGGTGAGACCAAGTTCTGTGCTTACGTCAGGTGTGAACCAGCACGGTCTCAGTGGTAGTGGCCACAGGGGTGCTGTTACCCCAACTCCAGCTCCACATGCCTCAGCACAGAAAGAGCCTCTGCTGGTTTGAGAGAAAGTAAGGGAAGAGAATAAGAGTCTCTAGTTGATAAATCAAGAGAATTTTTCCTGATGTTAATCCAAGGTCACCAAGGCAGTACCCCTATGTGTTTGCGTAAACTACTGTGTTATTGGGTTTGGGACCTAAGTCTCTTTGAATACCTGGAAAGTGTTTCCAAAAAGAATGGGCACAAACAAGCCCAGACTGTGAAGACTACAATAAAGACTGAACTCTTCAATGCCCAGATATAGATGAACATCTACAAGTATCAAGACCATCCAGGAAAACATGACCTCACCAAACAAGCTTAAAAAGGCACCAGGGACCAATCCTGGAAAAACAGAGATATGTGACCTTTCATACAGGAAATCCAAAATAGCTGGTTGAGGTAATTCAAAGAAACGTAATGTAACACAGAGAAGGAATTCAAGATTCTGTCAAATAAATTTAACAATGAAATTGAAATTTTAAAAAAAGGCAAAATTCTGAAGTTAAAATGCAATTGTCATACTAAGAATTCATCAAAATTACTTAAAAGAATTGATCAAGGAGAAGATAGATTTAGTGAACTTGAAGACAGACTATTTGAAAAGACAAAGTCAGAGGAAACAAAAAAGAATAAAAAATAAAGCATGCCTACAGAATCTAAAAAATAGCCTCAAAATCAAAATCTAAGAGTTATTGGCCTTAAAGAGGTGGTAGAAAAAGAGATAAGAGTTAAACATTTATTTAAAGAAATAATATTAAATAATATTAAACAATTCCCCAACATTCGATATCAACATTCGAGTACAAGAAAGTTACAGAATGTTAAGCAGATTTAACCCAAAGAAGACCACCTTAAGGCACTTAACTGAACTCCCAAAAGTTAAGGATAAAGAAATGATTCTAAATGACGAGTTGATGGGTGCTGACGAGTTGATGAGTGCAGCACACCAACATGGCACATGTATACATATGTAAAAAACCTGCACGTTGTGCCCATGTACCCTAGAACTTAAAGTATAATAATAATAATAAAAAGAAATGATTCTAAAAACAGCGAGAGAAGAGACACAAATAACATTCAGTGGAACTCCAATACATCTGACAGCAGACTTTTCAGGGGAAAATTTACAGTCTGAGAGAGTGGCATGACATATTAAAAAAGCTGAAGGAAAAAAAAAGAATAATGTATCTGGTAAAAAGTCCTTTAAACTTGATGGAGAAATAAGACTTTTCCTGACAAACAAAAACTGAGGTATTTAATTCACACCAAACCTGTCCTACAAGAAATGCTAAAGGGAGTTTTTAACCTAAAAGAAAAGAGTCAGTGAGCAATAAGAAATCATCTGAAGATACAAAACTCGCTAGTAATAGCACATGGAAAAACACAGAATATTATAACATGGTAATTATGGTGTGCAAAAATCTCAAATAGAAAGAGTAAACAATAAACCAATAAAAAATAACTACAACATATTTCCAAGACATAGACAGTAAAATAAGGAAGGAAGAGAAACAACAAAAAGTTTAAAAGAACGGTAATGGAGTTAAACTGT